AGAGACCCAGAGACGCCGCAGACGGGCGGACTGACGGGCGGACCGAGAGGGAGGGACAGAGAGAGGGACAGAGGGACGGACAAAGGGACGGACAGAGGGACGGACAGAGGGACGGACAGACTGAGGGACAGCGCGGCCAGGGCGGAGCTGCTCGCGGGAGCGGGGATCAAGACGAGGCGAAGGAGGAGGGAAGGAAGGAGAAGAGGAAGGAGAAGGGAAAGACAGGGAAGAAGAGAAGGCAGGAAAGAAAAAGGAAATGTTATTCTTAGGGAAGAGAAAGCTCACCCGCTCTTCTCCTATCCTTCCTGGGAAACTGCTGAGTGTAATACTCCATCCCATTTATTTCAAGTATTCCTTACGATTTTACAATTCTCTGAAATACCTATGGCTCGTGCAGGAACATGGATGTATAATAAACGGCTTCTGCTGTACAGACTGTGTTGTGCTCATAAAATTTATCTCCGGTGCAATCACAAAAATAGTCATGGAGACCATTTAAACTCCTGCATTAGAGATCCGGCAGCTAAGTGTCTACCGTCACGAACGCCACTATGAGAATTTGCTAAAATTGTGCTTACATTTGTATTCATCTTTTCAGTCCCTTGTACATGTGGAAGGGACTCTGTTTTATTTTTTACCTGCTAATATATTAACTTGTCATGTATTTCTTGACCTGAAGGATGAAAGTGATGGTTGTGATGGTTGTGCCTTTCTCAGAGCCCAGTCTCAGCAGCAAGGGGTTTCCTGCCCTAACATCTGAGGCGTGCGGCAGCGCGAGGGGAGGGACGGAGAATCGGTCCAATTAGGAAATCTGAAAAGGGCAATCTGAAGGGGCAGCTGTTGAAGGAGTACATTTGGGACATGCGATAGCGCTCGCGCTTGGTCTACGGCAGTGCCACACTTACAATATTTTTACTGGCTGAGATTTTTAACTTTTAGGAGAGCTGTCAATTATGGAACAACTGGCCTGTGGATTAAGATTATTCCTAAATCAAGGACCGGCCAAATATTTTAGCAGATTAAAGCGCCTGAAAGGAGGCGCAGGAGTCAGGGGTTCGCTAGCAGGGCCTACCATGCTGCCCCCGTCCCCAGGGTGGGTGCGCTGCGACAGCCGATTGAGACTGGGCGTGGTGGCACGCGCCTGTAACCCCAGCTCTTGCAAGATCCTGAAGACCCTGTAGACCCTTCCCTAAGATACCAAGAAAAAAAAATTCCTAAATAACCCACATTTTTTCCAGTGGCATAAAACTATTTCATTATAAAAATGGCAACCATATTCGTGTCAGTAAATAGCTGTTATATTTTAGTCATTTTATTTTATTTCTGTTTTATATTTATCATGACAAGGTTCCTTATCAGATCATACCCAGATACAGTCATAACTGCTTTCCCTTAATTTACTGAGATCGCTATTATACGGAATGCGTTCCCGCTGCTGCATCATTCATGCGTTCTTGCAAGACTTCTCGGTTGTGTAGTATTCCCTGAACATGTTACTATTGTGTTTGGCTGTTGCATTTGTTTGTTTGTTTGTTTTTGGTCCGAGAGTCAAACTCAGGACGTCATGCTTGCCAGGCAGGAACTGTGCTGTCTGTCATTTATTTACCAAATTTGCATGTGTTTGTATTGAAGAATCTGGGCTCAGTGCATTTGCTCCTGACACTCTCCTGTCTGCATTGGGTGTTGGAATTAAGGTTAAACTGGTCACATAAAATAAACCAAGGACTGCTTAGGCAGATGCAAGGGCCGGAAGTTCGATCCCCAGGCCTGCTGTGCTGGCTCCGCCCCTGGGGCGTGCTGAGGCAGCGATGAGGCTGGGTGTGGTGGCGCGCATCTGTAATCCCAGCACTTGGAAGGCTGTAAACAGCCTACGAGTCCAATCTATGCAGTGAGACCCTCTAGGCCCTTCCCTAAAATAAAATTAAGAAAAAAAAAAAGCGCCCAGGAAGCTTCCCTTCTCTTCCCATGTGAGTTGGCTTGGCTAAGATTACTATGACTGTTGTTGAGGTATTGTTAATTAGCTTAAAATCCAGATGGACTTGGTGCTTTCTGTTTTGTTCTGGGATTCTGGGGATCAAACGCAGGAAATGGCCCATTGGGCTCCACCAAGTCCTTTCTTACTTTTTTGGGGGACAGGACTTGGCTACATTTGCCAGGCCTCACCTGAACTTGCAGGCCTCCTGCCTCAGCCTCCCAGAGTGCTGGGTCTTCAGGCGTATGCTCCCATCCCAACTAAACCTGATTATTATTATGTCCTTTCCAAATGTATATACTTCTAGGGATGGCCAAATAGCTCAGCAGATTAAAGCCCCTGCAAGCAGCTGCAGGGGTCAGGGCTTCCCAGGCCTGCCATGCTGGCCCAGCCCCCAGGGTGGGCTGAGACGGCATGTGGTGGCACAAGCCTGTAATCCCAGCTCTTGGGAGGCTGTAAACACGCAGATCACTACAAGTCTGTTCTAGCAGTGAGACCTTGAACATCCTGTAGACCCTTCCCTAAAATACAGGGGAAAAAAAAATGTATATACTATTTTCTCTCTTCAAGTTTCTATTTTTTCTCAGTCAAACATTGCAGCTGTGTGACGGTAGGTTGCCCCAGGCCGCACGAACTCAGTATAATGAAGCTTTTAGGCCTGGTTCACACCACAGCCTGACAGTCAGAGTCTTTCTCCAGCTTACAGTTATGGTGGCCGGAACATGTGTCTTCTAAAATCATCCTAAAGGCTGGGGAGGTAGCTCAGCGGCATAAGCACCTGTCTGGTAAGCAGCAGGTCCTGAGTACAATCCCCCGTCCCAAAAATAAAATAAAATAAAATCATCATAAAGAGGATGAATAAGTAGGACTGTGCGTGCGTGTGTGTGTGTGTGTGTGTGTGTGTGTGTGTGTGTTGAATCCAGGACCTTACATTGAGCTGCATCCTATAACCAGGTCTTTTTAAAATTTTTTGAGACAAGGCCTAGATTGGAGTCAAAGTTGCAGTCTTCCTGCCTCAGCCTCCCAGAGTGTTTGGGCTGTCTGTGGGAGTGGCTGTGACACCTGACAGGTCCTGAAGGGGGCTGTATCAGGTGGACTCACTCCTTTTGGCAGATCTCAGCCTCGTGGCTTCAGGTTAATGGAGAAGAATTTCTACTTTCTATGTCATGAAGAAGAAACAGGAAGTAAGATAGCCCCCTGTGCGCAGCAGTTGTGTTTTGCACGGGAAATATCTAGCCTCTGTATTTTCAAACACATCACCACAGAATTACGCACAATGGCCTCCACAGTCATTTTAATTGTATCCTTATCTCTATATCTTCCTTGCCATTCTCAACTGTGTGTAATTTATTTTTATCTTTTTTTATCTAATCTGGCTGATACTCATCCACTGATGTTTACAAAAAACAAGCTTTTGTTTTATGGGTTTTTTCCCACTGAGATCACAAATACCTGTTGAGCACTATTGTAAGAAAACTAACTCTTCATGGCAGAAAACCAAAGAAAACTGCCCCCTGTGAAATTCGTAATCGTACTTTCTTTCAATTTACTGTGTTGCTTTTACGTGATGAGTCGGGTGATTTTTCATTTATCTTTATTATTTCTTTTATTTTTAATAAAATCTTCTAAGGCTATAACATTCCTTCTGGCTTTAATGTGTTTCATAGGTTTTAGCATTAGCATTTCTAATTTTTTTCATTTGTACATCATTTTATCCTAAGGTTTTGACTTCCTCTTTGATTTAGGATTTTCTAAAACATAGCACACTTTCATTTCCAAGGAAGTTTTGATGATCACCTCTTTTACATCTATGTTGAATTATTATTTTAAAATGTAGCTCATAAAAATCTCTCCTTTTTAGAATTTATTAATTTTTCTCTGTGGTCAAGAACATGATTGATTTTTCTGAACATTGCTTGAGTTTAAGCAGAGGATATATATTCTCTGATGTAAGACCATCTTCACACAGTTTGTTTACTGTATTGTTAAAATAATCTATGTTCCCACTGGCAATTTATCGACTCAATCCATCAAATTCTGAAAAAGATAGATCGAATACTCCCACTATATTTCTTTATTTTTTTTT